ATGGGTCCACTTACAGCATGGGTGGTTTTCAATAGTAAATAGTATAATACTACACAATTTGAAATTGACTAAATTTGTGGATGTAGAACTGTGGATACAGAGAGCCAAGGAGTGTCTGGCTAGTCTTCACACTTTGTATTTCCATATAAATCTTAGAATTAGCTTGTCAAGTTAGCAAAACAAACTTTTATTAAGTAAAAAAAGCAAGTTAATGGTATGATAGGACTATACATATTTATTTTTAAAATAATCTTTACAAAGTCTTAAATTTCTATTTAACTTATTTCTATATTCTAGAATTTTTTAAAATTTGCATGAATTTAGCATTTAAAAAATTGTTAACGGGAGTAATCAGCTTCCATTTTGAAATGACAAGTTTTGACTTATCAGTATGATGAAATATTATGTAGCCATTAAAACTGAATATGTTTTTCAAAAAGTATATAAATTATAAGTATGTTATTTTTTGTCTACACTTTCTTGCTATTAAAGAAGAATCTATTTACCAACCTTGAAAAATTCTAAGAACTTAAAACTAAGAGTAATACAAGAGAACAAAAAAAGTTGTCAGTGAATGATGTAAGATATAATTAAAGATATTTCATATAATTAGTCATGCATTAAATACAGATAACCCTCCAAATTTTTATGTTGCATTAACATTACAACTCATAACAGTCTGGACATCCCTCACACTAGTAAAAAAACAAGTTTTATAGTAGATTTCATTGGGCTGAAGTATGAGTTGCATGATTTATGTCCCTGTTCTACAGGTATCACTTTCCTCATTTCTAGTATTCTCAAATTTTAGGCTTTTATCTGTTGTCGTCAGTTTAGCTGATAATTTAAAATTCCTTGGCAAATGTTACAAAACCATATGACTATGTGATTACATTTTCTTGAATCATAACTCCATCAGCTTCATAGTAAATTGACCTCTAAGCATAACTATTTCTGAACCTGCCAGTGGGGGCCAGTGCAGGACAACCAAGGACCCAGAGCATGGCGTATGGCTATGATTGGAGTCCTTTACTTTCAATTGGACTGTTTTAAGTACAAAAAAGATTTTATGAAGGATACTTTCTGCCACCTGTGTATAAGACAGCCTCCATGCCTGTCTTTCTGGATTTTCCAGAGCTTTAAAAAAAATTTTCCCATTAATAAATAACATATAGTAGCACAGGGAAGTGTGTGCAAGATCTTGTGGTAGCTCACAGTGAAAAAAAATGTGACAATGAATATATGTATGTTCATCTATAACTGAAAAGTTGGGCTCTACACTGGAAATTGATGCAACATTGTAAAATGACTGTAACTCAATAAAAAATGTTTTAAAAAAAGAAATAACATATAGTTAATTCACATTTTTTTATTGTTCAAAATACAATGAGTTAACCTAAATGTCCATCAATAGGGGGTGCTAAATTAGGGTAGACTATATTATGGAAATACTGTGCAAGGTTCAAAACAATGAGGTAGATTTTTATGTATAGATATGAAAAGATGCCCAGGATTTATTATTACATGAGAAAAGCAAGTTACAGAACATGGAACAGTATGTACAATGTGATTCTATTTGTATTAAACAACCACCCTCACCCCCCCAAAAAATTTAGGCAGAAACCTATCAAACTGACAAAAGTAGCTCCTTCTGGGTGGAATAGGATGGGAATCAAGAGGAACTTTTGACTTGTTTGTATTGTATACATTTTTTAAGAATAAGAATGAATTCCTATATTACTTGTTTGATTGAAATTAAATTCTAGAAAAATAAATGTAAATGAAAAATGGCTAAGTTAGCCTTTAGCACAGAATGTTTGCTTGCTGTTTTACTTTGAACTATGTCAAAGTATAACATTTGTGTTTTGCTTTTATGGTAAAAAGCTTTGACCTGCATCCTTTGGTTTTATCCTCATAACAACCAGACAGGCTAGATAGGGTTGGTGACATCTCTGCTTTACAGTTGAAAACACAGTCTCAGAGTTCATTCATAGTAAAATTATGAATTCTCTGTTGTACTGGTTTCTATCCATATTATTGCTATATTCATTTATCACCTAGTTTATAATTGAATTGACTCTTTCAGATGAGACGCTAAGATTAATCTCTGAACAGGCTGTAGATTTCTATAGCCAACTGTGTATTACTGCTTCAAACTAATTTATTTCCCAAACTGTGTGCCAAATTCATAAAATTGCATCATAGATGAAGTCCTTGGTTTTTCCTCTTCCATCTTGTTCTCCCTCTTCTTAATCTTTCTTTCTTTCTGGATATAGTCCTGTTTGTCTTCCTGGTATGGTTTATCCTCAATTAACTGTCATATTTCTTTCCTATGTATAAATCCATAATAACTTAATGTTGCTTTTCCCAGGGCATGTATTTTTAAATTAGGATCTCTTGAGGAACAGCCTCCAAATTCAAATGAATGTGGGTATTGGACTAGATGATCTCTGATACTCAGGTCTAACATCCATGATTCGATGTTTCTATCACTAATGATGACATTTCAGGGGGCTTTCATGGATGTGAGGAAAAAATATTTTTGTCTAGAAATACTTGCCAAAAACTTCTCAAATCACTTGGCATTGAACTTGCTTTCTTGTCTTACCTCCAAGACTGACTGTGCACAAATGGAAGGAAAGAAACATTAATTTAAAAAAAATTCTGAGTTTGTCACTGCTCTCTACCTCTGGGGCAGCGTAGTCTAAAGGAGAGCTATGAGGCTGAAAGTCTGAAGAACTGAGCTCTAAAGAAGATCTGGTATGAATTCTGCAACTATGGACAAGTCACTTCAGGAAGGCTGAGTGATGTAATAGAGCAAAAAGTGCTTTGGCCAGGGTTCACTGTTTATTCATTTCATTCATTAAAAAAGAAAAGAAAAAAAATACTACATTCTAGGTAGGATGCAGGTTCCAGAGAGACAGTGGTGAATAAGATGGTATTCTCTACTCTCCCTCTAGGAGTACTTACTATTTATTGATTTTTGATCATCTTTTCGCCTCTTGAGTTCACTTTCCCTTGTGTAAAAGGTATGGAGAATAATACTTCATATTCCACAAGAATTACTGTTGTAGTGATCCATTGTTCTAATGTGCAGGTTTTATTACTTGGGTGTGCTGGCTGGATAAAGAGATTGAAAATTGCTTACCTAATTCAAGCTTTCGTTTGTAGGCGACAGAGAAGGTCTCAGAACAATTATTTGACCATCCCAGTGCTTTTAAAAATTTTTATTGAAGTATAGTTGATTTACAATGTTACTTTCAGGTGTATAGCAAAGCGATTCAGTTACACATATAAATACATATATATATTTTTCAGATTATTTTCCATTATATAATACAAGAAATTGAATACAGTTTGCTGAGCTATACAGCATCCCAGTGCTTTTTAAACTTACTACACACGGTGTAGTTTCTTCACAACCCACAAGAAGTTTTTGCAACTTCTGGGGTCCTTTCCTTCCCCTTTAATCTGGCCTATGTACTCCAGCCCAACTAGAGTACTGTACTTACTGTTAAAATGAGAGCAAACTGTGAATGCATTCACTTTACTTAGGCTGGGTTCTTAGCAATCCTTACATGCCATTTCCTTTCCTGAAATCTAACCATTCAGTAACTCCCAAGAGTCACTTCCTTCTTAAAAGTCATGGCTCCTCAATTTGATGAAGGCTTTCACCGTTAATCTGGAGACACTTTGTATCTTAGCTTATTATTATGATCCTTAATCTGAATTATCCTTTTACCCTAAATTGTAAACCATATCCTGTTGCTTTTTTCATTCCCTTGTTGCTTTGGGCAATGCTTTATAACAATGCTGAGGAATAATCTTAGATCAAATTGAATTCTTGAATCAGTTGAATGGCAGTATGATAGCAATAATACCTGATGATCTCACCATAGAATGCTCTTATGGTAATAAAATGAGGCAATAAATCTGAGGCAAATTTTGACAATTTTAAAAGGTAATACATGAAGGAGGATCACTAAATGGAAAGCAGTTTGGGAGCTGCATCGCATTTGAAACTGTTGGAAAACTATTATAACTTTTTTTTTTAAGCCTGGAGACTTCTAGTGTTGGAGGACATAATCATTGTGTTTAATTTTTTGAAAGGCTATCAAGTCGAAAACATTCTAATTGCTCCAGCCAGTATAACTGCCAGCAGTGGAAGGAAGTAAAAGGGAAGTAGATTTTGGTTCAGCAAGAGGCAGACCTTTCTAACATTTAAAACTGTCCAACAATGGAGCAGGCTGCATTAAGAAAGTAAGAGTCCTGAAATTTGAAGTGTTGAAATAGAAGTTGGATGATCATCTAGCAGGAATATACACGTGTACTAGAGGGAATTCCTGCCCGAGCAGGAGTTGGACTAATGACATTTAAGGTATCTTTCAAATCTAAGGTTTCTATGACTGTTCAGCTCGGTTAACTTGATATTTGAAATTTTTGAATTATTCTAAAAAAAACTTTTGTATTAAACTGTCAATTGACCTAAGAAATTGTATGGTCAAGTTTACAGTAAGTAAAATGTGTTCAAAGGAATGGGAAATCGGTGTAAAATTGAAAATCTGTATATCATTAAAGGCAATTAACAACGCTTTTAACAGAAAGGGACAAGGGTGTGTGTGTGTGTGTGTGTGTGTGTGTGTGTTTCAAACGATGTGTTCTGGGCACGTGACAGTTATCTAAAGCGTAAATGCTCTTAATTGTTTTACTTTACACATGCTTGCTCAGATGGCTTTTCACAACCAGCAGTACCTTATGCGGAAGCAAATTTCGGTGTCTGGTGAAGGACAGTTTTCCGGAAGACGTTTCGCTGTACCCAAGCCGCCCAAGACCGCTTCAGCCCACAGCGGACTCGGCTGGTGAAAGAGGAAGAGGCACCGCTCGTCGCCGGGTCCGAACTACCAGTCCCAGGGGGCCCCGCGGCGCTGCGCACGCGCCATGGCGTGGCGGCAGCGCCGCAGCAGAACGCAAGGAAGCCAA